GAGAAGCGCGACGTCGTCTGAGACAAATGTGAAATATTTCAAGGTATCAGTTTTACCAAAAACGATAAAGGTGGATTTTTCAGGGTCTTTCACGAGGGTGGTTTGTGCTAAATCCTCCCTCATAGAGAATCGTCCCCTTAAACTTTTGAGCAATAGCTTGTTTATAGATATCTGAGCAGGGTTGTGACTGATTTTTTCGGGGTCAAGACGAATAGACTCTTTTTCATAATATTCGGGGATTAAGACGCTTTTTCGGCATCCGTGATCACATTTGACGGATAGCCGGAAGCTTGCTGTTTCAAACGCAAAAACGTTTTTACGTAATAGCGAAACAGCATATCCATCCTTTGCAGGAAATGCCAAACTTCTTCGACTTTGGCCACGACGTAACCCTTCTCGATCACTTTTAAAAGTTTGATACTGACCCAACACCCTGAGAGAGCCCTTTCCTCATCCGTGTGGCTACAGCTCGACATCTGGTTTTCAGCGTGCACGCAAGTTCTGCATTATGGGAACATGACTTTGAGTTGCCTTGATAAGTCCGTAATCATTTTCAATCAGTTCAAAATCATTATAAATGATTTGGGAGTGCCTGATCGGATAGCTTTTCCTAGCTTGGCAGTATGGGTATAAGCTGGTAATATCTATGTAGCTTATTTTCTGACCGTCGTCATTTTGTGATAGAGTTTATAAGCGTTAGTACATCCGCCAAAAAGTTTCTCAGCTTCAGTCTCTCGGGAGCCGAATAAGTACTCATAAACTCCATCACAGAGGGCTCAGTCTGTTTCATTTTATTCACACTCCCATAGCACCTCTATTTTCAAGCTGTACGCATTTTGCAGAATTTCGACCTTGTCGTCAAACCGTCTTCTGAGAATGCCGAAAGGTATGCCTGACAAGGGGTGTGTTTTATGGAGTTTGAAGTGGCATTCATGACCGTGGTGTAAGCAGTCCTTGTATTCTAGTCCGTACCTTGTCCCGTCCTGCTCGTAGTAACCATCTAAAAAGTAACGGCCGATCTGCACTTCGCTGTGATTTAGAGCGTGGTGAATGTCAACATTTCGGGTCTTTTTCACATACTCGAGCCATTCGATCAACGTGTTAGAGTAAGTCTTGCTGTGTTAGACGTACATGTTATTATGCGTCAGAGCCCGGGTATCTCTGTCGAGGTAATGCGTTTTGAAGACTCCCATAAAACAGTTTGCGAGAGTGGTAAAGTTGAAGTTCGGTACAGACTATGAACGCTTCTCAGTATTTCATGCACGCTTTGCGTATTATGACTACGTCGTACGCATACAACTCTTTCCTGAAACAAAATAATTTACCCGAGACCGTGCTGTACCACACGTCGAACTTTACCTGGTCTTTATTTGACATGTTTTCATAGCCATAAAACTTTTTGTCGGGGTAGGGGCCCTCATAATTAGCATTTTCCGATCTATTGAAATTAAGGTGAAAGTAACCTTTTTCCGTCGTGGTCAGGTTTAGAGCCACTGGAATCTTAGACCGAGCCATCGGGATTAAACCTTAACTATCTATGTAACGCTGAGCAAAAGATTCATCGTACATGAATATTAATTTACATCCTTGTATGATGATGTCTAGAGAAAGACCCACTTTGCAAAAATACTCGAGAATTAGAAAAGAGTCAAATCTGGACGCATTATGGGCTATGAAACAGTAGCCTTTGTATCGTGGTTGTCTGAACTGGTTGATCAGCTGTTCCACGCAGTTGGTACCTTCGGCCACAAATCGTTTACCTTCAAAAGTGATTGCGCAAACGAAATTAGTGACGTGCCTTCCATTTTCATAATGTGTTTCAAAGTCATAAAAAATATAATTTTTGTTAGGTTCCTTGGGTGGTTGGGGCTGTGTGTAACAAAAATGTAACCATCGGGTGTGCAGTTCTTCCCCGCAATCGTTGCATCGGAAGGGAGGGCATTCATGTCGATCGGCGGGGGCCTATAATTTCGTACCGTCTGTTACATAGTTTGCAATATTTTATAACCTCGCAAGGAGCATTCTCTTTACCGGGCGGAATCTTCTTATGCATGTCGTAACTGTAGCTCGAATTACAATAGTGTATACAATCGGAACAGTGAATGGTTCTTTTAGGGTATTTGAAGCAATCCCGATCTAAACATACATTGCAGATGTACTTACAATGTGATCTCTGGTTTTTGAGTAGCCTTCACAACAGAATTGACATACAGTATCTCACAGAAGTGAGTACACCCCTCACATTTTTGTAAATTTATTTTATTATATCTTTTCATGTGACAACACTGAAGAAATGACATTTTGCTACAATGTAAAGTAGTGAGTGTACAGCTTGTATAACAGTGTAAATTTGTAACGCTAGAATCCCCACCGATACATCTGGCAAACTATGCTATTTCCTCGATTTTTTCGTGTAGAAAAAAAGGTACGAGGCTAAATCCGTAGATCTTATTTCACGCATATTCATAGTCCGCCACAATTCCACGCTGTTAAATCGAGGCCTAGGGATTATGTGATATCCGTTTTACGACCCTGCTGTATCGTATAAGAGAGTTGATGTTCACGTGGGTTGACTCTGTCGCAGCTGAAGGACGCTGCTCACCAATATTACCCGTAGCACTAGTTGACGGACGTGCTGTATCAGAAGGGGGTTCAGTGTGGGAAGTCGACGGTCGCTCTGCATCGTTATCTCTGGAAGGATACACGTTGATATTACCTGTGGGGGGAACAATTACTGTAGTTGACGCTCGCTCAGCATCTGTAGGGGCAGCTGATGAACACATAGTGCCGTTGGACAGATCAGCGGTATTGTCCGAATCGGTTAACGCACCTCCGTTCTGTACACTGTTTTGGCGTAACCATTGGCCGCGTCTATTTTTTACGGTCTGCAACAGATTGCACAAATCAGTGTTTACACTCTGGTCTATTTCCATTTCTAATCGTTGCGAATCATGATTATTTTGGGTCTGATCATTATTAAATGACATTTCTGCAGAATTTGGATAGTAATCTATCAATTGTTGTAATATGTCACACAAGTCTTTATGCATTTCAATAGCACTCTGTAACAGGTCTGAGAGAGATTGATCTGAATGACAGCTATGTGTAGCCCCAGCATCCTTTATTTTATTTAGAACCAACAAAAGTGATAAATTCAGAGATACAAAAAAAAATAAAAAAATAAAAAATATATATAATGACGTTAAAAACACAAAAGCAATTAAATTCAAACATACAATGTAAAATCAATACAAGTAACATAACTAAAAATTATAATGGTTTTAGAAATAATGGATAGATAAATTGACGAATCACTATCTCAGATGTAGAGAGTTGTTTAGAGCACAAAGAAGACTCACAATCAAGCGTCTCTCCCTCAATTGTTCGTGTGACGAGTGCAAAATTTTCAATCACCCCTGTTTGGAAATTGTGCAAACGATTCTCTGTCGCTTGATGTTGTTGAAATAAATTACCTTGTAGTTCATGAAGCCTAGCGTCCATTCCGTTATTAAGTTCGTTGAAGAATGCGGTCTGTCTGTTAAAAACTTCACTGAAGAAAGTGTCCTGCCTTTTAAGAATTTCGCTGAAGAAAGCAGTCTGCCTGTTAAGCAACTCTTTGCACAAAGCGTCAAATCTTTCATTAACAAATTCACGCAACAGATTTACGTTTTCATCCCGACGTTCTTCTGACGACAATTCTGTTTCTTCTTCACCATCTTCGTTGTCTTCACCGTCTTCTTCCTCAACTGGTTCTTGAAAGGCGAAAGGTGTTTGCCTATCCCTTGACGATAAATTCACGTCTCTATCACTGGTCCACGAAGAGCTCTCCCACGCATTTAATTAACTCTCGGTCCAATGTTGGACATTATTCAAAACTCTCGCAGTCGCTGTCTGTATAGAAAAAATCAATAAGAAACTGAAATTAAAGGCAGTCGTCCACTGTAAGGTTATAACTAAGCTGTGTAAAAAATAAGAACGGTATTTAAGCCAAAAAATTGCTTAGTTAACACACAATCTATGAAAGCGTGTGCATGATCTTACCAGAGAGACAGATATGCTTCTGCCACATGATGCTTCATTCAAGAGTGGATCATTGCACCAAATCTTGAGCCTGTAGACGAGTAGAACGGACCAAATCCACAGTTTTAGCCGAGCGGATCTTGACTGATGATCTCATTCTCATTGACGCGTCTCGTTTAGTGAAATGTGAGAGCTTGTGTGTTGATTTGATTTGGGAAAGACAGGATTCTCTGAACGCTGAGGGCTGGATTTCCATCTGGACGTCAGAGATGTATTGGTATCACTCTTTCATTCATTCCACTGCATTGCTTTTGTTTTTAATGTTTATTCACTGTATCGCATTGTGATTCCACCCGAGGCATGTTTTAGTGGTTTATTTTATTTAGAAACCAAATATCTGAACTTTCTCAACTACTGAACCCCATTGAAAACAACTGAGACGAGAATGTTAGAAACGCTTGTAAAACTCTATGAAAATGTCAAAGATGTTCCAGAAAATGCAGCATTGAATCTTAAAGGGGTCATATGATGTGATTCCAATTTTTCCTTTCTCTTTGGAGTGTTACAAGCTCTTGGTGCATAAAGAAGATCTGTAACACGCCCCCACATGTCTACATCACTATGTGGGAAGATTTGCATAACGCAGCCCAAATGTTCACGCAAAGAAAGAAGGCGTAACTTTTATTCTCGCTGTAGTATTGTTGCCGCCGCCGCCATGTCATGAAGACGCTGTGTGTTTCGTTGTGAAAGCGAAACTTTGTTTGGTCAACAAATGCCTAGTTTATAATGGGTTTGAATGTTTTTGTCTCGTTGCTCCGGCCGGACACGGCATCACAGTATGGTGAGGGGCGTAACATTTCCATCACACGCGTGAGGTATTCGGCCAATCACAACGCACTGGATAGCTGGCCAATCAGAGCACACCTCGCTTTTCAGAATGATGAGCTTTGTAAAAATCTATGCTTTTCAGAAAGGCGGGGCATAGAGGAGAAACAATAATGTAGAGTATGTGGAAAATCTAACTGTTTCTTCATCTCTTCTAGTCGGATTTACAACCGCAACTACTATTTTCTTCCTGTCTGGTTCATCCGATGGTTCATCTGCGTCTCTCGTCTGCTTCTGTGTTTTGGTGTTGCTTGGGCCGGCCATATGTTCATCCTCTTCCTCCTGCGTCAGATCGATCAATATGTCGTGCAATACGCCCACGGCCAGATCTATAAAAAAAAATTTGAATTAAAAAAAATAATATATATATATATATATTTATTATTTTAGTGATACAGAACAGGACTCAAAATATATTCGTACTCACCGTCTGTGTCTCTCGTCCCGTTAACGGTCACCTCTCTCGCTACAAATAAAAGATAATATATCAATCATAATTAATAGACGACTATGAATATCAGAAAAAGTAATAAATGAGCGGCCATTCTTACCGAATAAATCAATTTGATCAAAAGACAGTTGTTCCATAGAAATCATCTCGCTAGCACCTGGGACAAAACAGAAGTTAGACTGATAAATATTGAATGATCTTTATATTAAGCGATGTGAAAATTTTCGCTATTCATTAATAGGCTTAATTACCTTTTAAATTCGCCTATCAACGACGGTCGGTAGTGTGATGCTAGTGCCAACACACAACAAAAAAACACCCGTCATAAATTATACCAGAGTTGAAATCTAATAAAATATTATATTTTAGCAATAGATAATAAAATTTAAGAGCTTTAAACATTATTGAAAAGATGTTGTAATGTAAACATATGTAAAATGTATGTTGAATTTAATATAGTATTTCAATGAACATGGATACATTAAAACATAGAATTTACTGATATCATCTATTGATTTAATCTGATCTAATCTATAATGAAACAGATTAAAAAAACGAAATACAAATTGAGAAAACCCGTTGGCTACTGCAAACACAAACTAAAGAGAATTCAGAGTGTTTTTCTTTAGACCCCTCGGGCGGGGTTGCCATAGCTCCACACACACTGCTGCTCAAACAATCGCATTACAGAGGTTTTGCTGGGTTTCCATTTGAACACAATTAAACTTAGAGTTTGTTTATTTAACTATTCAAAACATGAGAAAAGACTTAAAGGGGAAATAGGTTTTGCAAAAATAAGATTAAAAGCAGACACCAACAGGCAAACGTGCATAAAAACCAATTGACTATGAAAATTTGATTTTTAAGCTCAAACAAGCGATCGTCTATCTCGTATGGCAGCTTAAATTAATTCAAATATAATATCAATCAAACAGTATTCAGCAGTTGTACCATAGCTAAAACATTTAATGATTTCAGGAATTTTCAAATGGAACAAGCGGCCTCAAATCACTGCATCTGTGATTCATAGTCCGTAAACGAACGCACTAACCACTGACCCAAGAGCGCCACTTGATAAACGTCATTACACAAGCTTTGGTGGGTTAACATTTCAATACAAATAAACTTAGAATTTGTTTATTGAAGCCATAAAAGAAACAAGATAGCGCTAGACCAGGACTGTCCAAACTCGGTCCTGGAGGGCCGGTGTCCTGCAGAGTTTAGCTCCAACTTGCCTCAACACACCTGACTGGAATTTTCTATGCCTAGTAAAGAGCTTGATTAGCTGGTTCAGGTGTGTTTAATTAGGGTTGGAGCTAAACTCTGCAGGACATCGGCCCTCCAGGACCGAGTTTGGACAGCCCTGCACTAGACTCTTAAAGGAAACAAGCTTACGCCATTAGCCAAACTAGAAATTAGAAAATCAAGTTTGCGCGGGACGCGCACAAATATGATGTCATCGCTGTGTTGATGGAATTTCACTTCTTCACGCCGGTGGTTTTAGACTACAATTACTCATCGTTGCCCCCTGTCGTTTAAAAGAATAGTACAACAGCGAATGCAACAAGAATAAAGAATTAATCTATTATATTTCTTCAAAACTTTAATGAATCAGATTATAAAAATTAAATAAGAATAAAGACCGCCAACAGCCAGACGTGCATAAAAAAACAATTGTCTATTAAAAATTTATATTTAAGCTCAAACAAGCATCGAATCAAATATAATATCCATCAAATATTTATGAAAGATAAAGTACCAAAATTAATACATAAAATGCTCGACTAACCGGCCTCTTAACGGTCCGATAGACCTCTGGGATAATATAACGATGCTATGATCAAATATTACAAAGAAATCACGATCCTTATTTAACGTTATCAGATAAATTATGTTTGAATGGGAATGTTTACGATAGAAAAAAATCACAGATTTCAACATTCCTTGCACCCATGTTGTATTCAAATAGACTATAATAACAGGCTTTTTCAAGAAAATTAAATGAACTTACCGTTATCCATAATGTCAGCAGAAAAAAAGTTGTCCAAAATACAAGAGGTACCAAGACAGCTCACGACGTCCTGAGTTGGACCGTACACTCCTGAAATCCCTTGTGGGTTTTAAATACCATGGCTGTGGGAAATTACTAGTTTTATTACCCATGGGGTAAACTCAAATATTAGCCTCGGAGACCTCGCATATGGCAAACAGCTTTTGTCAACATTTCTTACAAATAATGGTGTGATAACAAGTAATAAGCTTATAGATTTAAAGAGACATAATGTTTTAAAGGCGATGAGAATAGCTAGCAAAAATTGTATATTTGTTTTTATTATTTGTAGTTGAATAAATAAGTTTAATCATTTTAAAATCAAATTTCTCTAAGTAGATGTAATTTTAACTCTGTCATCCGAGCTCTATGTAAAACACGAACCATCATGAACAGTTTGCCTTGAAATTCAACATATGATACCATAGACCAGGGATCCTCAAATCTGGCCCACGAGATCCACTTTCCTGCAGAGTTTAGCTCTAACCCTAATCAAACACACCTGAGCAAGCTAAAAAAATTCTTTAGTGGATCGTTTCATGATGTTCGTAAGAAATATATAAATTATTATATTAATTTACGCTGCTCGGTATTGCTAGTTTAAATATATTTAATTGTATAAGTAAAACGCGTTTGTAAGGCAGCAACCCCGGCCGAGTAGTTAGAATAATTAGAATAACTTAAATAAAAACTATAATATGGAATTTAAATATACAAAGTCTACAATTTGTTTATTAACTGTAACCATTTTAAATAACGACGGTGATCCTGTGAAACTAACTTAGGATTGTGTGCTATTTACAATAGTAACTATAAAGCAAAATATTTCAAATCACACAGTTACATCTGAAACGTGTGCAAACAGCTAGTACGGCTGTTTTAACAATCTTCTTAAACAAACCATAACATAATGGTTTGTTCGGACTCCATCTGTTCAAACATTTCAAACAATGAGGGACTGACAAGGTGAAAATGACAGTCTTAATTCTTTCTCAGGAACTTTTCTGAAAGATGACACACCGTCTCAGTCCACTGCTCCACAATCCTCTTCGGTGTTAGACACACTTAGAGGTGTACAGATTTTAGATCTTAAACATTTCGTTTGAGACACTCATTCGAAGAATGGTCATCCTAGCACGAGGAAGACTTTTTTCTCACTGTAAAATTTTTATACATTTCATTATTTATTGTTTTATTTTCAATTCATTATTAGTCATGGTATATAGTTTATTTAAATCCTTTTTATACAACCATCAGTTTATAGGTGTGGGCACGCACACACACATATTGTGTTATGTTCTCATGATCTGTTAAAATTGTCTACCTATTTTTGATATTTACCTTAAAACCGATAAGTATTTTCACAGCTCTTTTCTGATTTTCCACAGAAATGCTTGAGATCTATTTATCTAAGCATACCACGGAACGCAACCGGATTCCTCCCGGTCATGTGGTCCGCAGATGCTGGACACCGCTGGATGCGGGTGTTCAAAACGGACTATAAAAGCACAAAAACATTCCTCAGGACTTAATTTATGACATTGGACAAAATTGTACAAACAATTGTACCAACAACGAAATTCCACATATGCTGATTTACACATCTGGATGTCATTAACCCTCTGGGGTCTGAGGCTGTTTTGAGGCCCTGGAGAAGTTTTGACATGCCCTGACATGCCCTGACATTTGATTTTCAGTATCTTAAAAAATATGGCTAAAGTCTGATAACACTGTATTCAGCACAAACTGGGCTACAATAATATGTGAGCAGCATGAAAGTACATGATTGTGTTTTTGAGAAAACAACGTTTATGCGTGGTTAGTGAAAAAAACATTTTTTAAGTCACTGAAATAAGGCCATAAAACACATAGAACTGGATGTGGTAGACTAGAGTTTTTGCTACAAAATGATGTGAAAATGATCATGTTCACAGAAATCAATATATTGATTTAACATTTGTAAAACATGTTTTGCGATAGAATGCCCTTATCCGAGAGAGTGACAATGGCCATGAATATTTAGTGATTCACACCTGAGAGACAAAGGGCCTCCCATAATGGGCCATCAATATGAATGTGACTGAGGCAGGTAAGAAAGAGTGTGAGGAGAGTAAAATAATGTGGGTTTTTGATTATTATTTGTATTTTATTTACAACACAGTATAATAAAAATTGGTTACACTTTATTTCGATAGTCCACTTTAGACATTCTACTAACTATAAGTAACTTTGTAACTACATGTCAACTAATTCTCATTAATTTGCAACTACATGTCTACTAACTCTCAGAGTAGACTGTTAGGGTAGGTTTAGGGTTAGTAGAATAAGTTGACAAAGAAAGTGTTAGAAGATATTAAGCAGACAGTCTACTAATACTTGACTAACTGCTAGTTGACTTGTAGTTGCAAAGTTACTTGCTGTTAATAGAAAGTCTGAAGTGGACTATCGAAATAAAGTGTTACCTAAAAATATACACAGTGAAGGTCAAGGACACATGATTGAACATACTGATCTGAACACTGAGACTGGAACAGTAACACACCTTTGTGCCAAACATTCATTCATAGTGTTAACACTCACACTACTTTTATATCTTGCGGTTTTATATGTTATAAAACATTAAACAAACATTGTGGCGTTGTGAGACATTTAGACAATGAAATGACACATATTTCAGAATGTTTCACTTGATTTCATTCATGTAGTCAGGAATTATAGTTTGGGAAAAGTCTAACTAGTAAAATGTGTACAAGTTACGTCACAATAACACAATAACAACAGATGCAAGTAATCTTAGGCTTCTCATCAGAATGATATCCTCCACTGGATCTAGCTGCGCGACGTATCGCTTTGTGAGGTAAATTCTGGGTTATTCCTCTCAGCGCGTCTTCCAGAAACGAAAAGTAGCCAAGATGAACTTGTTTGTTTACGCGGAGGCGATGTGGGTGTTTACATGCACGCACGTCTCACATGGATGTTTAGAATTTGAAAAGCGCGATCGGCTCATGGGCGTGACTGCATTAGAGATAATGAGTTGAGACGGGAAAACTGGACATCACGTTGATTTCATACGGATTACTTTAACAGAGAATATTTGTTTTGGACGTGACTTACTTCGTTTAAAAGCAGACATTTCAAGCTTTCGATACATATATTTCTTGTGTCTTTGAGGCAAGTATTCATGGAGATTCAGGTTGTTTTTATAATAATATAATTACCTTATTCTTAACTGCACGATCAAAACTGACAGAGTATTTTTAGTTCTTTTCACGGTCATCAAGTAAATACGAGACAGACCGCTCCAGTGCGGGTTTTGACCCCAGAGGGTTAACAGGTCACGGGGTCAACACGCGTGGGGGAGGGGAAAGGTCAAAAGGTCAAAGCCATAAATCAAGGGTCACAAATCATTCTTGACACAAGCCGGTTCCTAGTGATACTAATGTCTATGGTTTTTGCATAAAATTACTTTATCTCGCTGGAGTTTATTCTTGTTTCTAAATCATGTTACTTGATACCGGATGTCTGTTAGAACAAAACATGACAGTAGAAAAGTCTATAAATTGATTTTAAGGTGCACAGTAACTGAAATTTAAATCTGTTAAAAGAAAATAAACTGTTGCATAGATATAATTAATTATAATTTATAATTAATTTATGCATTTAGCAGACATTTTTAACCAAAGCCACTTACAGTGCAATCAGACTATACAATTTTTACCAGTATGTGTGTTCCCTGGGAATCAAACCCACAGCCTTTTGTGCTGCTAATGCAATGCTCTACCACTGAGCCACAGGAGCACATTCAAGTGTATCATTCTGTGCACCAGATGCTCATACTGTAAGCGCTTTGTGCTGCCCTGTATTTGTTTTGTCCTATCCATCATATGTTGTTGCCTTATTAAAAAATGCGCTATACATTTAAAAGAAATTTATTTTCATTTTATAGTATATTTATATATAAATACATGGCCTTTTGTGCTGCTAACGCAATGCTCTACCACTGAGCCACAGGAGCACATTCAAGTGTTTCATTCTGTGCACCAGATGCTCATACTGTAAGCGCTTTGTGCTGCCCTGTATTTGTTTTGTCCTATCCATCATATGTTGTTGCCTTATTAAAAAATGCACTATACATTTAAAAGAAATTTATTTTCATTTTATAGTATATTTATATATAAATACATAGTTTTTCATGAATGGATTTTATAACAATACAGATAGTAACGTGTAACATTTGAACAGATTCAGTGCTACACTTTTATTTGTTCCCCACTAAGTAATGTTTTTTCACTATATATTTGGATTTATACAATTATTGTGCACTGATTTTTTGAATAACATTAGCTGCTAAATTATCCACTAACCTAGTTAAAAAATATATTTTTTATTTTATTTTTCTTTATAATTAATTAGTCTATTTAGTTGATTGTGAAAGAGTGATTATCAGTTCCACACACAGAGATATACAAATTCTACATGTATTTAAAAGAAAAAAAACTGCACTGGTATCGGATCGGGATCTGTATCGGCCAATACTGAACCCCAGTGTCGGAATCGGTATTAGAGGCAAAAAAGACGGACTGGAGCATCCCTAGTTCATTGTGCAACAAATGAAGTTGACAGAAATTCATACAGTTTCTGTTTGTGAGAAATGTAAACCATTCTGTGTCGACCAAGACTGTATTTTGTTTATTTTCAGCTGGATTTTTTACTTGATGGTATTCATGTAATTGCTTCTGTAACAAATGCAGATATCATCTACATATAAACTACAGTGACAAGAGAACAATGACTTTTGCGATGCTGTTTATTTTAATACTAAAAAGCTAAGGCAGAACACTTCATATTTACTTTAAATGTGCTTCATGTGTGAGTCATATATGCTCTTACCACAGTTTCTCCAGTTTACAGTGAGGATTCTGTAGTACATCTGAAAGCAGCTTCACTGAATCTCCTAGTTTATTCCCAGACAGATGTAATTGTCTCAGGTGTGAGGGGTTTGATCTCAGAGCTGAAGCCAGAGCAGCACATCCTTCATCTGTGACGCCACAATCTCTCAACCTGTAGAGAACAATGACACACTCTTCACTCTCTCAGATCAGATCAGTTTAGCTGTGAATCCATTATTAAAGAAAATGTACAAAATGAACATTGGACTGAGGTCTAAGATGTCACAGAACACAAATCATGATCATAAACATCCAAAGTCTCATTCAAGCAGGATAAATAATGTTCCTTATCTGCACTATATCTCTATTTTATGCAAAACCTGCCTTAATTGATGACACTATTCACAAGCATGTGTAAGTCATATATGATCTTACCTCAGTTTCTCCAGTTTACAGTGAGGATTCTGTAGTACATCAGAAAGCAGCTTCACTGAATCTCCTAGTTTATTCTCAGACAGACTCAGCTCTCTCAGGTGTGAGGGGTTTGATCTCAGAGCTGAAGCCAGAGCAGCACAACCTTCATCTGTGACACCACAATTACTCAACCTGTAGAGAGATGAAAATCATACATGTGAAACACTATCAAACAGCTATCAAAAAAGCAATCAAACAACATGATGCAATAAACAACAGCTTGCAAATCCAATAAAAATTAATTAATTAATTCCATGAGAAAAAAAGTGCACACGTCAAATTATCCAAGTTTCATGGGCAAATTTACACACACATAAAAAATTTAAGACTGGATTAAATCAACATTTATCTATTAATAGTGTAAAATTGTAATTGTATGTAATTGAGTAAAAATTAAATTAATGTAATTCAACTTCTAACTGGTTTAACATGTTTAAAAAAATCGACATGCTGGACTGTGAACTGGCAGATAGTTCATGTGTTTTAATGTAAGTTTAAATCTAGCTCTTGTCATTCCAGATGCCCTTCTGTAAAATGTCAAAACTAAAAAAAAAAAAAAGACAATTATATACAGTATATATATATATAACAATTATAATTAATAACTAACTTGTAGACTTCAGTTGTTGTCTTCAAAAGTGTATGATCAAGTATGCTGCTGTTTTGCTCTATTAACTGATTCATCAGATTTCAGGAGATTTGAGCTGCTGTATATATGAGCTGCTTCTCCACTTGTTTGGTTGCTCTCGATTTCTGATTGGTCTTTTATGCCAGATGAGAAATATTAAAATTACTTCTTTATG